CGCTCGAGCGCGCGCGCGCGCGCGATGGCGAACGACGACGACGACGACGATGACGCGAGCGCGTCGAGCGCGACGTGGACGACGCGCGAGCGCCGGGCGCGGGCGCGGGCGATCGCGCTGGAGGCGACGCGATGGTCGGAGGTTCGGGTGATGGGGGACGGGATGGACGCGCGCGCGCGCGCGAACGCGAGCGAGGTCGAGGGCGCGGACGCGGGGGGGGGTGGGGGGGTTCCTCCGTCCCCGGGAGGGTTTCGCGGAGGGTTGGACGGGCGGGATGGGGAAGATCACGCGTCGACGGCGCGGGCGCTGGACGCGCTTCGGGCGCGCGACGCGGGACGCGAAGGGACCGACGGTGGACGGGCGGTGCGCGGGATGGGAGGCGGGTGGTTGGGGGAGGGGGGTGTCGTCGAGGGTGAGGGGGGAGGTTTGGCGAGCGCGGAGACGTATGAGGGCGCGGAGACGTACGAGACGGGGGGGGGCGCGGCGAGCGCGGTGGCGTTCGCGAAAGTCGGGGAACGAAGCGTGGCGATCGGCGACGCGGGAGGGAACTTGGTGGTCGTGCGATACGCGACGAATGACGTCGATAGCGTGCGAGCGTGCGAGATGGGGGCGCACCGTGGACCGATCGTGAGCTGCGACTGGAGCACGAGCGGAGCCCGTTTGTTAACCGTCTCAAAGGATGGGACGTTAAAGGCTTGGAACGTGACGCACACGTCCAAGACGACGATCCAAATCACTAAGCAGTGCGAGATCAACCTTTTTGTGGAGTTGACGTGCGTGAGATTTCATTCGTCGCAGGATGATGTGGTATTCGTGGGGACGAGGAGCCGGGAGATGCTCGTCGTCGACGCGGGTGTGGGTAGTGTCCTCGAGAGATTCGAGACGAAGGCTGTGCCTCTTTGCGTGGACTCTAACACGAGTGGGAACACGGTATTTGTCGGCGACGACGAAGGTCAAGTGAGCGTGTTGACGTGCGAGCCTCGTATGAAGAAGATGCTCTCGATGAACTCCGAGGGCGACGCCGCCGTTGAGAATCCCATTCAGCGCGTCATTCAGGAGAGATCAGCGAGTCAGTCAGAGCGCATGGGCGTCGTTGGATTTTCTTCAAATAGTACGATTCAAGCATCAGAAGTCGCATCGAAGACGTCGCGTATTCGCGCCGGTTTGAGCGCAATCATGCTCAAGGCGAAAAAGGCGGTGCCGAAACTCGTTCAGTTGAAAACAGGATATCGTCTTCGACAGGTGACGGTAGTGAGTGGATCTTTTAAGCCGTCGCCGATTCGGGCGATTCGATACTGTCCATTCATTGAAGTCATGAGTGGTGCCGCTCTGATGATCTTTCACGAGTGCGGAGCTGTCGAAATGTACCACGCTCGAGATTTACCTTACACTGATTTCCGTTCCTTTGCTTTAGCCCAAGTCAGTGATTGGAGGACCCAGAATGATTGCGGTGGGGTCGTATCCTTCACGCACGGACTCACGTTTGAAGTGCCGCTAATGTCGGCCTCCATTCTAAAACGCACTGCGATTTACTCGCTCCCAGCGAGTTCCGGCTTGCCCGCGCGTGCGATGCAGTACACAGATACTTTCGACGAAGGAAGTGCAGATGCCGATGTTGCGACGGTATCCGCGTGGTCGCACGACTCAGCTGACTTGTACATTGGATATGCATCTGGCAAAATCGTCCACTGGCGACGAAAGCGAACTTCATGAATGTTTGTTGTGTTAATTATAAATGCAAAACGCTGTGTAAGTTAGTGCGTTGACAACCCCGTTTCTATTCCTGCGCCCCCTTGTTTTCCCCTTGCTATTTTCCAAATCCCTACTTTCTCGTCTTCCGAATCCCCTTCTCGTTCCTGAAATCCCATTCTTTACTTCCTGCCTTATCCGTCTCCCTTTGACCCCCCCAAATCTCCCTCTATCGTCCTTTCCCCCCAACTCCAAACAGTGCAACGTCAACACCCGTCGACGCCACATCAAACATTGTACTGCTCCGCCAGTTTCCTCGTGACGCCCGGTTCCAGATCACGCTTTACAATTTCCCACTTTTGCGCTCCGATGTGATCCTTGAAGCCAACGAGGAGCTGCCCCATTGTGGCAACGAGTGCCTCATTACGGCACACTCGCCAGGAGGCTATAGCCTCGACGAACGCACCCAACCCACCCTCAGCGGCGGTCGGATTCATCTGGATCAACTTGCACAATCCCTGAAAGCCGTGCTCCTTTTCAACACCATCCCGAAGCCGTCGAAGAGCAGAGCACCAAGAGTTCACGAAGTGGGAGAGACCGCTTTGCAAGTCTTCCGGACAAACCATCGCCAGGCGTCCCAGCGTGATAGCCGCATTTTCACCAAGAGCTCTGTTGACCATGCGCATGTCTAGAATTTGAACCATGCACTGAGCTAACGGCGCGACGAACGGACGCAGAGCATCGGGCGGAGTTCTAATGGCCAACTCACCCGCGGCCCAGCTCGCGTTGTTGCACACTGACATAGTCATGGAGACGACATTCGACGGTTGGAGCTGCGTGATTATCAGCTCCATGAACTGCTGCAATGATGCGTTCAACTGAGCGGTGCACGAGCGAGCGAGATCACCAACGAGCGCATAGGCACTTCGTTTCACTCCAGGAGATTCATCGACGCAGCAGGCGAGAATGATTTCCCGGAGTTGCGACTGCGCCACAAGAGTTTCAATATCTGGTCCGAGACCCTCGCACAGACCCGAAAGCAAGTCAAGGGTACAAATGACAACGTCGACAGAATACTCCTCAGCTGGAATTTCGCCGCGTTGTACGGCGACGCGGCGCTGAAGCATCAGTCCCAGAGCGGCGTTGCACTTCGTGAAGATTCCAGAACTGTACTGTCCTGCAGCCCCACCGAAACCAATGATGAGCGCCGTGAGGCATTCAAGCAAGTGGAAGAGCTCTGGATCAGCCCCATTCGCGGTATCCCATCTATGGATCATTCCAGGCAAAAGAGCTCCAGCGAATCGAGCTTCTTGCAGCGACGGACCGATGTTTTCGGCGAGCATAGTGAGTGCGTCATACAGGTTGCGCAAATTTTTGCGTTGGTACATCCCCAATGCCTGCGTGAGGGTTTGTACGACTGTCTCGGCCCAGGGAGCCATCGTGTCCCGACCTTCAGCGAGTACGGTCGCAATTGCTCCGCAAGCCGCCGCCTGCACGTGCTTATTATGATCCAAACACCTCTTGCACTGAGCCGTTATCAGTGTGTTGAGCTGCTCCATTCCTTGTTGTTGCGGCATGGCGTTGGGGTCGTTCGACGGTCTCGCGCACTGAAGCACCCACGGAGAGAATCGACTGAGCGTCCAACACGTCGTTGATCGTACCAGTGGACGAGCATCATCCAACATGGGCAACAAAAAGGTGATAAGCGTTGGAAGGTACGGGAGCAAACCAGCCGAACAACCCTCCGCCACCGCTCCGAGTGCTAGTATGGCGCTCTCGCGGATCTCCCATCGCGACTCACGTAGCCTTTGCTCGACAACGGGAAGTATGATGGGCAAAAGCTCGTCTCCGAACACGTTTGAAAGAATGTCAAGTCCGTTTGCAGAGCTCTTCCGCAGGTTCCACACAAAGTCATCCGTGTCATCCTGGCCGTCATCAGCCTCGTCACCCTGCGAGCCCTTATCCTTGGTGTCACGGAATGTGGGTTTAATATCCTGGTCTCTGTCTTCCCTGCCAACGTTTACCTCGTCGTCCTCAGCTTGTATCACCTCGTCGTCGTCCTCTTGGTACGCCATATTTGTCAAAAGCACCGGAATGAGTCTCGGCGTGAACTCGCGCAAGATCTGAACGTAATCATCCCCGAGGTCGGCCTCACAAAACGCTCCCCAGAACTCGCACGACTCCATGGCCACATCCTTGTCCTCGTCGTCTTGCCTCTCGAGCATGTACGTGATGATTTGGCGCAAGTTTGGGGCCAACTTTTCCGGGCATACGTTGATCAACATCACCAATCCCGAGCACACGAGCCTGCGCACATCGTTATCAGGATCGTTCGCGAGCGCGAACAGACCCTGAAGATAAGTGTCCAGTAGCGCGTAGTGGTTCTCCGGCCAGCACGGGGCGATCATGTTCACAACGCCCACCGACTGCTGACGCACCTTCGCGCTCGGCGCCTGGAAGAGCGCGAAGAGCCTCGGGATGAGCACACCCGCCGGGGAATCCGACATCCCCGGCACCTTGACGTCCAATCTCCCGTTCACCTCCTCGCACGCCTTGTACAAAGCGTCCAAAGCGCCGTCTCGAGAGTTATCGTCGCCCTGCTCCACCGCCGCCGCCAGCGCCGGCCACAGCGTCGGCCAATTCTCCACCCCACCACACCGCACGATCACCGCCACGCACGTCCCGCACGTCGTTCGAATCAACCTCGACCCGTGTCCGAGCGATCGCACCAGCGTCTCTCGCACGAACGCGCGATATTCCTCGCTCATCGTCGTCGTCCACGACGTCTTGAGATTATTCTTCAGCAGCAACCCCGCCGACTGTCGCACGTCCTCTCGTCGCCCCGGCTCCTCCTCGCTCGTCAACACGTGCGCGAGGTACAGATTAAAGTCCGGAAAAGTCGCGCATCGCTCCAACCTTCCCAGCATCTCTCGCTGATTCGCCCTCGGGTCCAAGTACTCGGCGATCAGGGCGACGATCTGCGCCGTGCCCGCCGTCGCGGGCGCCCACGTGGACATCGCGCGCGCGCCGCCCCGGACGTCGTTCGCGCGACCGCGACCGCGCGCGCGCCGTTCTCCCGCGCGCGCGCGCGAGGTTTGACGTCAATGCGCGCATCAATTAGCGTCCGTCTTTTTTCCACCTCGAGCGTCGACGCGTTCGCGGACCCCCACGTCGCGCGCGACGTCGAGACGCGCGACACCGCGACGGGGCGTCGACCGATCGCGCGGGCGTCGCGCTCGGGTCGATCGAACGCGCGGGATCGAACGCGCGGTGGCGGCGGCGCGATCGCGATCGCGTGGTGGGGTTTCGTGGAGACGCATCGTCGATCGCGTCGCGTCGACCCGCGCGTGGGCGCGCGTGGGCGCGCGTCGTGGACGCGCGCGCGTGCGCGATGGGCGTGGGCGCGATGGGCGCGGTCGGACGAGGGGTCGGGCGGGCGACGGCGACGGGCGGGACGACGACGGGACGGGAACGGCGACGGGCGGGACGGGACGGGCGCGCGGCGGTCGCGCGCGCGATCAAGCGCGTGTTCATCGACGGTGAGGCGGGGACGACGGGATTGCAGGTGCGTGAACGCCTGGCGGGACGCGCGGACGTGGAGCTGATTCAGTTGGAGGAAGGGGCGCGAAAAGACGCGACGGCGCGGAGAGAGGCGCTGAACGCGTGCGACGCGGCGATCCTGTGCCTACCGGACGCGGCGGCGATCGAGGCGGTGGCGCTGGTGGAGAATGAGAATACGGTTGTGATCGATGCGTCGACGGCGTTTCGGGTGGCGGATGGGTGGACGTACGGTTTCGCCGAACTCGCGCCGGGGCATCGGGACGCGGTGCGAACGTCCAAGAGAATCTCCAACCCGGGATGCTATCCGACGGGATTCATCGCGCTGACGCGCCCGCTCGTCGATGTGGGTATTTTAAAGCCGGGTAGCGCGCTCACCGTGAACGCGGTGAGCGGTTACACGGGTGGAGGAAAGGCGTTGATCAAGGTGTACGAGGAGGAGGAGCACGAACCGTGGGGCGCCTACGGCTTCAATCTGGATCACAAGCACTTGCCGGAGATGGCCAAGTGGAGCATGCTCGGTCGTGAGCCAATTTTTATGCCCGCAGTCGGATCTTTCGCGCAAGGTATGGTGGTGAGCGTGCCTTTACACTATGATCAACTCGCCGCCGACGGGCAAAGCGCCGAGCGCTTGCACGAGTGTTTGCGAGAGCGCTACGATGGAAGCGCGTTCGTTTCTGTCAGAGACTTGAACAGGATGGACGATCTCGAACGTGGTGCGTTCATGAGACCAGATTCCCTCGCGAACACGAATAAGCTCGAGCTCAGCGTCTACGCGAATGACAAGAAAAGGACCGCCGTTCTCGTAGCGCGTCTGGATAATTTAGGCAAAGGTGCTTCGGGCGCCGCGGTTCAGAACATGAATCTCGCTCTCGGCCTGGAAGAAATGAGTGGGTTATGATGAGTTGCGTCGATCGCGTTATTGATTCTACCCGTCCAAAACCTTTCCAATACAATGAAAATAAACTCGAAAATAATACTCCTGGCGCGCGCATGAATAGTGATATATTGAATCTTACTCTTGACGAAGAAGAGCGATTTGTTTGTCAAGGAGTGGCCTTGCGTAGGTGTAAATCTTCGCTCGGTGTTTGTACACTTTCGACTGAAGTTTCAAGTACTCACGCGAATCAACCATCACTCCGGTGCGTAAAAATTTTTGCTCCTGAGACGTGGCGAACAGTCAACGGTCAATCACACGATGTGACGGGCAAAGGAATTAGAAATCGACACTCACTATGTCGTACGCATAGGACTCGATCCAATCGAGATCGCTGACGAGCTCCGTCAGCGGGATTTTAGTATTTCGAAGCCCCTGGTCCACAAAGTTTAGCGTGTCGGTGCCCTCGGACAGGTCGAAACCTCGGACGGAGTGCTCGAAAGATTCGAACATGCTCTGCGCGCATCATCGGTGATCACGCATCGGTCAGTCGGTCGTTTGACCGCGGTTCGGTCGTCGCTTTCGAGAAGACGCAAGATCCGCGCGTCGCTTTACGCACATTCAGTACAGTCACGATGTATTCGTAACATTTCAAGACGCCCGCAAACTGACGCCCGGGCCATCGCCTGACTCCAAGTTGTCTCAATCTACGTCAATTTGCATTCTTCATCGTCAGTCTCCGTCCAGACGCCGCAACATCTATCGCGCGCGTTTCGTCCCGAGACCGCCGCGCCAGTCTCGCCGTCGCGCCCCGCGCGTCCTCGCACCTCTTCTTGAACGTCGTCGTCCCGAACCCGAGTTCGATCGCCGCGTCGTCCGCACTGAGCAAGGCGTGCGCGTACACGCAATCCAATCCCATGTCCCGCGTCGCGTCGTTCTCTCCATCCCGCGCGATCGTGATCATCAACCCGCACGCGCCACCGACGCGCCACCGAAACGTCACCGACACCACCGACCCCCTCTCGGGCCGCGCCGAGCCCGACCAGGACCCACGCCTCCGCGTCGCCCGCGCGATCGTCCGCCGTTCGCCAATCGAACACCACGCGCGCGTTCGACCGCACTCGACGCCGGTTCAAGTTCACCGCGTCGAGTGCGGTCGCGCGCGGACGCGCCGGAGATGCATCTTATCCACGACGTGCGCCACGTCAGCAACAAGCACGTCGCGGCGACGTGTGCGAGATGCCACGTCGGCAAAAAGCACACCTCGGTCGCGGGGACGTGTGCCACGTCGGCAAAAAGCACACCTCGGTCGCGGACGTCGGGGAAAAGACGGCGACGGCGACGACGACGACGACGGCGACGGGCGACGACGACGGACGACGGGAGACGCGCGCGCGCATGGGACGGCACCGCGACGGGCGTGACGTCGTCGCGACGGCGGCGACGGGGACGGCGACGACGGGGGCGGCGACGGGGACGGGGGCGACGGGGACGGCGACGTGGGCGACCGCGTGGGGGCGGGGCGCGGGGCGAGGGATAAATTTAGTCGTCGTGGGGACGTGCGCGACGTACGTGGTCTGGGTGCTCCTGGGAACCGTGGCGTGGATCTCGCACCTCGGTGCGCGCGTGGAGAGCTCGGAGAGATGGCTCCCGGCGAGGGGGTACCCCGGGAACGAACCGGCGAGGTCGATTTGGAGCTTTGGAGGGAGAAACGTGCCGGCGGCGGCGGCGTTCGTCGTCCCGCACAGCGTCTTGTTGCCGAGTCGTTTGCGACGTTGGTGCGGAAAGTACGGTCGGTTGGCGTATAATGTAATGTCGGCGGCGACGTTGCACGCGTTTTTGGCGATATTCGCACCGCTGAAGACGCCCGTGGTGATGAAGATTCCGTTTGGCGCCTGGTTTCACGACGCGCTCTCCGTGGGATGTCTGGCGTACGCATCGTACGCGTTTTTGAGCTCGCGATCGACTTACGGACTGTTAGGAATCAGCGATGCGCTGGGAATCCGTGACCCGCGATACGCGAATCCATCGGCGGGGATGGACGCCATCACGTGGATGGGCGTGACGACGTGGCGCTTGGGCGGCGCGTTCGCGTTCGTCCTGTTCACCGGTCTCTCCATCATCCCTCGCGAGCTCACGCTCGGAGACTGCATCACGCGATGTGTCGCTGCATTTTATCTCCGTAAGCGCTCGCGATCGTTCCGAGAGTGGGTAGAAAAGATTGAGGGCGTCCATCTCTTGACGTGGATTTTACGCGCCGCGCTGTTATCCACCGCGTGTTACGGCGCTCTGCGCGAAAACGGTGACATCCGCGCCGTGGCCTGGATCTTCCTCGGCGCCGCCTCGCTCGCAGGGATTCTTCGCCTCGCCGAGGCCGACGCCGAGCGTCGACGCGCGCGCACGAACGTTCCGCGTGCGCGACGCAAATCCGACTCGGCGTCTTCGCTCTGCGACGCCGCGCCCGCGACGTGCGACGACGTCGCCGTCCCCACCGATCCCCCCGAGCGCGCGCACGCGCGGCGTCCACATTGTCGGTCATCTTGACCGCGCGTCGCCTCGCCAATCGTCTCTCCTAGCGCCGTGTCGTCGTGTGTCAGTCTGACTCGAGCGAACATCGTGACCATTATCGATACGCTCACCCGTGCTTCATCCTTCGTCGCCGCTCCGCGCGTCTCGTCACCCATCGCCTCCAACGCCCGCGCGAGCGCCGCCGCGGTGTCATCACCCACCGTCGAGTTCACCAACCCCACAACCGCGCTCGCCAACGCCTCACCCGCGCCGACGTGAGGCGATCCGGTCTGCGAAATCGCGTGCGCTGAAGACGCGAGGGACGCAAAGGCGAAGATTATCAATCCGCCAACCGCGCGAGAGATCGTCAACGCGCGGCGTCGATTCCGCATCGCGACGCGTCTAGCGTCGATCAAAACGTCGGACGTGATGCGGCCGTCGACGCGAGAGCGCGTCCGCGCGCCCGTCGCCCGCGCCCGTCCGCGTCCGCGTCCGCCGCGTCGCGCTCGCCCGTCCGTCGACGTCGCGCCGCGCGTAAAAATAAACCACGCGTCAAAACTCGCCACGCGGCGCGGATGGAGCTCGAACGTGAAGGTTTAGGTAAATCTTGGCTTGCATTAAAATTCTTCCTCATCTTCATCAGTGCCTTCACTGGCGCTTTCATTTTCTTCCTCATCTTCGTCCTCTTCTCCTTCTGCCCAAGCAGACGCCGCAGACTGCGACTCCGACGCGCGCTTCTTCATGAGCACTCTTTTATTCGTATCCATGCCGCACGTGCGCTTGTAGCCCACAATGTCCGCACGTTCCTGGTTCGTCGGTAAATCGCCTTTATTGGCACTGTGCTCGATCAACCCGTACCAGTAATTTTTTAGGCCACTAATTTCATGTGAACTCCATTTGTTGCGGACCAGGTCCTCCACGAAGGTTTTGTATCCTGGAAACTTTGAAAAGTGTTCGTCGAATTCACGCCGGGAGTACCATTTCGCCCCGTCGATAGAGTGTAACCACAAGCCGTACACGAACGGGTCACAACAAGCGAAATGGCAGTACATATCGAGAGATGCATCGCGATCTTGTTCTTCGTTGGATTGACGAGATACGCGAAGGCACCAACTGTCTCGGGCAATCTTGCCCAAGACTCCATCAGTTTTACTGAAAACGCACCTGCTGGCCGCTCCTTTTGCATGCTCAAAGCACTGCACATGCTTTTGTTCACATGCACATTTCATTATCATTGGGTAACACTCCAAGGCCTCTGCCCCCCTTGCGGCGGTTGTTGTCCGACCGTTACCCTCGCCTTTCGCGCCCTTGCTCGACGACGGCGCGCCCTCACGCCGCCTCTTCTTTCCTTTGCCTTTGTCTTTTGGCGAACTCAGCGATTTCGAGGGACTTCCTTCTTGACCACCCATAGCGTGTCGAGCGTCGAAGAGTGTGGCGTCCCCGTCGCGTCTCGGGCGCCGGGGGCTCGTCGGACGGTTGGGTCCTTGTGTTTTTTTATTTCTCGATTCTGAAAATAATTACGCATAATTAACAAGAAATGTGTGCCATATGCAAACCCCTCAATCGCATTTCGCTAATTGCCGATTCGTCTGCGCGAACGAATCGGCAATTAACGAAGTGAGTTCATGCGTTACGAAGGCGTTACATGCGTTGAGATCTTGGAGGCGCCTGCGGCACTCTGCGGCGCGCGTCGACTTCGGCCGCGTGACGTTAGGCGGGATATCGTGTTCGATATAAAAAGGTGCGCGCATTCATACGTCGCGCGCGCTTGGGCCTCGCGATACTCGCGACGAACGTGCGCGTGCGCTTTAAGGCGAGGAAAGTTGAAGCGCCCGCCCTTCCGAGTGAGTGTGAAGTTCATATACCATACGCGCGAGCGAGTGCGCAAGCGAGTGCACGCGTGCGAAACGCGCATGATTCATGCCATATGTATCGAACATGTGGTCGTCTGTCGAGCGCATGTGCGTTATCGCACGCCGCAAGAGGGCACTACTGACCGAGTCAACGCCCGCGTGCACACGAAACACGAGCGACGTACTACGCGGAGCGCGCGATGATACTGACCCTTTAGGTGACGACTTTGAAATATTAGGTGAAATTTAACTGGAAGTCCCGCGGATAAATTCCTGCGCTTGAAGAAATGGACGATGCGCAGACGCGCGATGGCGACGAACTTCTCGATGGCGATCTTCTCGACGCCATCGCCTTGGACGCGGGGCTCGCCGATGAATGGGACGACGTCGAGGACGATTCGCCGACGGACGCGGGAGATTACGACTTTACTATTGACGCGGACAAGGAATCGTTCGCCAAATACGTCACGCGTGGGCGCAGCGGGTGTTTACCGCACGAGGAATACTATGCACCCATCGACGCCGAAAAGGTACACGCCGCGGCTGAGACATTGGATGACGTTATGTCCCGCGTCAAGTCGGAGATGGTTGACAGGACACTCCATGGAAAACGGAGAAAACGCGCATTCTGGGAAGTTGTTGAAGCGCTTCGCGAGCTCGTACGAGGCTTTGGACTCGAGTTCACTGAACCAGTCATTGGAAAAGGGTGGAAATTTGATCGAAAAGGCGCACTCATCCTCGGACATTTCATGTCAGACGTTGCGGCACATGACTCAAAGAATTTAAAAAAAACGCATGTGATCAATACGGCAGCGCATGGTCGGATAACCGCGGTCGTCGCACGAGTGTGGAACGAATGGAAGAGAGCGCTTGGAGATCACGTTTGGGAGCGGGTAACTATTTGGAATGTGACCCCGTACAAGGCGCACGCCCATGCGGACAGCGTCTCGGGCCATAAAGGTAAGCCCCTCGTATCATCGGAGATGATGGCGATGTCTGAATTTCTGATGATTGAACAATCGGTTCGCCTCGCTGTTTTACTCCTTGGTTGTCATACCATCGTGACATTCGGCGAGCGAGCGGCTGACTTCATAGAGCGCAGCAAACGGGTTGCGCCTCTCGCTCTCGCCACGACATTGAATACAGCGACGAGCCATATATGCTATCTTCGGGCACGCGGAGTAAAACGTGAAAAGGGGCACGAAACCCGCGTTTTCGTTCGCAAAGAGCATTACGCAGCGTTTGGCAAAGCAGTGGATGACATCCTTGCCGTGCCGGCGTTTTCGGCTCAGGTCGGTGGAACAACCGCCGTCGACGCCGAGACACGTGGGACGACTGCGGCGAAAGCTTTCATGGAACGCACCATGCAGAAAATGGATGTGAAAGAGATTGGTGGCGAATTTCACGCGTACACGCGCGAAGAGGCGAAAGAGCGCCAGAAAAAGCGAGCCAGGGAATATGCACACGAATCATGCACTAACTGTTTTCTCGGGGGACCGCAAACCAAAATCAAACGACTGACGTACATCGTCGCGAAGCGCCGCTTCAGTTCTCGAATTCCCCAAGATCGGCAAACGGCTGGTAATTTTCTAGCCTGGCATTCGTCCAAATTCAGCAATACGAAAAGGAATCGCTTGGATACTCGCGTGCCATATAAGAGGTCGGATGCGAAAAACTTTTTGGCTTGGAGCCCGCGGAAATTCAACAGTACGAAAAGGAATCGCTTGGATACTCGCGTGCCATATAAGAGGTCGGATGCGAAAAACTTTTTGGCTTGGAGCCATTCGAAATTCAACAGTACGAAAACGAATCGCTTGGATACTCGCGTGCCATATAAGAGGTCGGGTGCGAAAAACTTTTTGGCTTGGAGCCATTCGAAATTCAGCAATACGAAAAGGAATCGCTTGGATACTCGCGTTCCACATAAGAGGTCGGATGCGAAAAACTTTTTGGCTTGGAGCCCGCGGAAATTCAACAGTACGAAAAGGAATCGCTTGGATACTCGCGTGCCATATAAGAGGTCGGATGCGAAAAACTTTTTGGCTTGGAGCCATTCGAAATTCAACAGTACGAAAACGAATCGCTTGGATACTCGCGTGCCATATAAGAGGTCGGGTGCGAAAAACTTTTTGGCTTGGAGCCCGCGGAAATTCGACAGTACGAAAAGGAATCGCTTGGATACTCGCGTGCCATATAAGAGGTCGGATGCGAAAAACTTTTTGGCTTGGAGCCCGAAGAAATTCAACAGTACGAAAACGAATCGCTTGGATACTCGCGTGCCATATAAGAGGTCGGATGCGAAAAACTTTTTGGCTTGGAGCCCGAAGAAATTCAACAGTACGAAAAGGAGTCGCTTGGATACTCGCGTGCCATATAAGAGGTCGGATGCGAAAAACTTTTTGGCTTGGGGCCCGAAGAAATTCAACAGTAAGAAAAGGAGTCGCTTGGATACTCGCGTGCCACGTGTAATACTGGAGTACTGTTAGTACTTCCTTGCAATAACTGATCGAATATCAGTAACCCCTCGAGACTAGAAAGGCTTTAAGGGATCTAGTCTGATAAAAGACTTTGACTCCTCTGGTCCTTACTAGCCCTGAAAGGGCGCGAGCTCGCTCGGGATCGGTTACGCGATTAGACGATTTAGCCGGTCAATACGGATTCTGCTGTCAATAAAAAGATTTATTTGGTCTCTTTACAAACACGCTCGGTTGGGCGCTGCAGAATGGCCCCATGCATGGGCGCGATCGCGTAGCACTCGTACGCGATACCGCGAGGAATATTCCCAAACTCAGAGGGTATATTCCTTTCCTTCTCCTCAGTTCGAAAACTGTGATGCATGTCTGTTTCAGGTCGTGCAGAGTCCACAGGGACGTCAGAAAGTGCTCAGATTTCATAAATGCCTCGTATGGTTAAACAGTATAAAGTGTGTGACTTATTCATCTGGGAGGTGTCCACATATTTCGCCTATTTGTATCAATAACACTCAATAATCAGTCACGTTACGCTTTCAATTACGTGCGCTTATTCAACCCAAGAATTCTCGCATTCGCCCCGAGCAAGTACATGCGCATGAACACCGATCGAGAATAGACCGCGCGGTTGGGATTCGAGTACGACGACGACGATCGAGAGATATGGGAGTACGTCGTCGATCCCCTCACATTGGTTCAGCGCAGAATGTCGAGGGAGATATCGATCGGTTGAGCGCACGGTGAGAGCTGAACACTAGATAGAAGGTTGCAAATGACAACTAGTAGTCGTAGCACAGACGCTTCGGTCGCCTTACATGCCGCATTTCTTTAGCGCGCGCTCTATCCCCTGCTCTTCGTACTCTTCTTTGGATATCCAAAACTCATCTTTGCTTCGCATGATGTCCGCCAGAACGGCGCCGCCAACGAAGACCATGTGCTTACGATGCGCCGGCGCCTCAACTTTGAGCTTGAACTTCTTCATCGCCTCTCTGTCGCCATCGAGGACATTCTTGAGATACAGTCGCTTTATGTCACGCTCGAGGCGCGATGGAAGACCGGCGTACATGGAGTTCCCTCCGGAGAGAACGATGTGTTGGTACAGCGCGCGCCGGTTGTCAATTTCGTTTTCTTGGATGCATTTGAAGACGAGGTCGGAGATTCCGTCTCCCTCGACGTCGATCAGGTCCGGTTGAAACAGGCACTCCGGACCCATAAACCTCTCAGGACCAAACTTTATGACTCGCCCATCCGGGAGCGTGTACGACGCGTTCGTCGCCGTCGTCTCTCGCGCCAATTGTAAGTCTCGCTTGTAGTCGTACGCCACGTAACACAAATCCTCTGGATTCCGTCGCTCCGTTCGCACCCACCACCGCCCAGCCGCCGCTCGCCCGCGTCCTCGACTCGACCTCGCGCCGCATCGCGCCGCGCTCGAGATGTCCCGCGAGGACGCGATCGCCCGAGCGGAAGGTCCACCGTTCACCGACCTCGATCCACCGTTGCTCGCGTCCTCTCTGCGCACGCTCCAAGGCATGGCGTTCACGCGAACGACGCCCGTGCAGGCGGCGACGATTCCTCTGCTCGCGACGCACAAAGACGTCCTCGTCGAGGCGTGCACGGGGTCGGGGAAGACGCTGGCGTTCGTGTTACCCATGACGGAGATTCTCTCGCGATCGGTGGGAGGGATGCGACGGCACGAGATCGGTGCGGTCGTCGTGAGCCCGACGAGAGAGTTGGCGCGGCAGATACACGCGGTGGCGACGCCGTTCGTGGAGGCGATGTTGCGAGAGAGAGGGGAGTCGGGGGTGGAGGGGCGGGCGACGATGCTACTCGTGGGTGGCACGGACGTGAGTAAGGACGTGGGGGCGTTCGCGGCGATGTCGCCGTTGGTGTTAGTGGCGACGCCGGGACGGCTGTGGGACGTGATGCAGCGGAGCAAGGAGTTGGACGCGAAGAAGTGCGAGCTGTTGATCTTGGACGAGGCCGATCGGTTGTTGGGGATGGGATTCATGACGACATTGAATAATATTATATCTCGATTGCCGAAGCAGCGAAGGACGGGCTTGTTCAGCGCAACGCAGACGGAGGAAGTGGCGGAGCTCGCGCGCGCAGGTTTGCGGAATCCAGTGAGAGTTACAGTGAGGGACGCGCTCAACGCGGCGGCTAAGGCGGCGGGTGAGAAGACTGGAAAGCTCCCAACACAGTTACAACTACTCTATCGCGTATGTCCGATAGACGCCAAGCTTTGGCACTTTGTGAACTTTCTCAAGGAGCACCGCGAGTGCAAGTTGATTGTCTACTTTTTGACGTGCGCGTGTGTGGATTTTTATGAATCTGCGCTCAAGGAGATGTTACCGGAAGCGAACGCGATCGCATTGCACGGAAAAATGAAGCAGAACGCGCGAGAATCGGCGCTGGTTAAGTTCACGGAGCTAAAGTCCGGTATTTTGATGTGCACCGACATCGCGGCGCGCGGTTTGGACATACCGGGCGTTGATTGGATCGTGCAGTTTGATCCGCCGCAGGATCCCGCGGCATTCATCCATCGTGTCGGGAGAACCGCGCGCATGGGTCGCGAAGGTAGTGCTATCGTCTTCTTATCTCCAAACTCTGAGGCGAGTTACGTGGATTTCTTAAGGATTCGAGGCGTGGATATCAAGGCAGCTCCCGGGACCCGAGAGTACTACGCCGAGGCAGCAGCCAATGACGGTGACAATCAAGAGATCGAGTTACCGTCTGATATCGTGGACGCTCTGGAACAGTCTGAGCGGGACGAGCGTGAGGGCGCGGCGCACGCACACGCGGTGTTGAGAAAAGCGAGTGAATCGAATCGAGACATCATGGAAAAGGGTGTCAGAGCGTACGTCTCATACATTCGCGGGTACAAGGAGCATCATTGTAGATTCATTTTCCGGTTCAAAGAGCTCGAGTACGGCTCGCTCGGAATGGCCATGGGCCTGCTTCGCCTTCCTAAGATGAAGGAAATTCGTAAGGCACCCAAGAAGTTCATGGAGAGCTTCGTCGAGTCCTCCGTCAACGCCGACACAGTAGCATTTTCCGACAAGGGACGAGAGAAGCAGCGTCAAAAGACGCTCAAGGAGCAGGAAGAGGCGGCCGCCGCGCAACGATTACTCGATGAAAACAAACCCAAAGTGAAGAAGGAGAAACCAGTCAAGGAGGAGAAGCGGCTCACCGCCTTTAAGCGCCGCAAGCAGGAGTCACTGGAAGACATCGAAGAGATGGAGGACGACTATCGCGCGCTGAAAAAGCTAAAAAAGGGTAAGATGACTGAGGAAGAGTTCGATATGGAAATTGGATTCGAGGAGGAGAAACCAAAATCGAAGACGAATAAAAAGTCGCAATAACTATCATTAGCCTAGCAGTATAGTTACAACGTGTTACGACTACTTCTCGAGCGATTTTCTGATGACGTTGCCCCACTTTTCCAAGAGCGCATCGACGTCTCCGTTCATGCGCGTACCGACGCCTCCCCACACGAGCAAATCCGGCAGATCCCGCAAACCATTGTCCCCGACCACGCGAACGGTTTCGAAGCCCAATCGTCCGTAGTATCTCACCAACTTCTCCGCGTACCCGTTCCCGTCGTCGATTGCCAACAACTCGCACTTCTTACACCCGGCTTCGCTCGCGAACAGGAGAGACATCGTCCCCAACAAAATCGCGATCCCGAACGTGCTCCGCATCGTCGCCCGCTCCCCACTCGCCACCTTTGAATTATACACTCTCATGCTATCCATGTGTAAGATCCCGAACGGCGGGGGCGCGATGAACCCCTCGTGCGTCGCCACGACGTCCGCATCGCTTTCGTCGCCGCCGCCCTGCTCAACCATCCCGCTCGCCCCCACGCCCCCGCTCGATCGCACCGCCCGAATCTTAAACGCCGGTCCGATCCAATCACACGTCAGCGTCAATCCACGCGCGCGCGCCGCGCGATCGAGCTCGTCGCGTGCGATCGGTGTCGCGTTGACGACGCTCGAGCGTTTGTGTGATCGAACGCAACGCGCGCTGTTCATCCCCGTTCTCGACGCCGTATGCCTCGTTCGCGGCGCGCGATGCGTGGCGCCGACGCATATCGTCATCGCGAACGCGTCGAGCCCGCGGAGGCGCTCGCGCGGAGACGATGCGCCGCGCAGTGCGCGCACGAAGAGGAAATCTAACCGACCCGAGTCGTCATTCATCGCGCCCGAACGCTCTCGAGCGCGCGCGCGCGCGCTCGATGTCCACTGCGTCGACGATGACACCGTTGGTGATATCGGCGACGGTATCCCCGAGAGTGCGCGCGTCGAGAGCGCGCAGGTCGACGACGCGGGGCGGTAACCGAATGGATTTCGAGTTCGGTCGAGCGTTAAACAAGACGACGACGACGACCGCACGCGCGTCCGCGGAGTCCGCGATCGACGCCAGACTCGAGGGCGATGATGATGAGTCAGAAGACGACGCGTTTTACTCGTGGCGCGTGGGTGGGGCGAACGACTTGAAGATCACGCACTTGCGGGACGTGTACAGGGGCGACGTCCCGCTCGTCGCCCAACCGAGTCCGTTTTGTACGACGACGGCGTGCCCGCTGAGCGGACCTCGAACGTCGGTCGAGTTCAATTCAAACTTTGTGAGCAACAGCGATCGGGTCTTGTTGAACTCGGTGGCCTTTGGATCGTCCGCAGATCCGACGCAGACGTGCTCGTTGTGGGCGGAGACGTTCGACCCAAACGGGTGTGACTACGTCCCGCAGTGGGTCGTCCGAGCCGGGCCGCGATCGGAGGTATACTTCGACTCAGACGAGGTACATGCTGCGATTGTAACCTGTGGGGGTCTGTGCCCGGGGATCAACGATGTGATTCGATCGCTCGTGAACACGTTGGAGGTCGGTTACGGAGTGAAGAAGATCAGCGGCATCCGCTACGGGTTCAAGGGCTTCTTCTCGGGCGTTGAGTTCATGAAGCTGAATAAAAAGACTGTGAGGAACATTCACACCCTCGGTGGTTCTATGCTTGGCTCCGGTCGAGGCGGTGGGGACGTGCAGAAGATTGTGGAGTCCATCATCCATCACGGAATCAATATGGTTTTCGTCATCGGCGGTAATGGAACGCACGCAGGGGCAAATGCCATTAGCGACGAGTGCGCCAAGCGAGGCGTTAAAGTCTCCGTTGTGGGCGTGCCGAAGACGATCGACAACGATATTTTACTCTTAGATAAGACGTTCGGCTTCGATACCGCGGTTGAGGAGGCACAAAAAGCAATCTTAGCCGCGGCGACTGAGGCCCAGAGCGCGTACCGCGGCGTCGGCGTCGTCAAGCTCATGGGACGTCAGAGTGGATTCATCACCATGTTCGCCACTTTAGCAAACGGACAGGTCGACTGTTGTTTGATCCCGGAGACGACTTGGGCTGCTCACGGACCGAACGGCGTGATAAACTATGTACGAAACCTTCTGGATACTCAGGGACACGCCGTCGTCGTCCTCGCCGAGGGCGCCGGTCAAGAGTTCGTCACCTCTACCGGCGTCGACGCTGGTGGCAACCCCAAGCTCGGTGACATCGGCCAGTGGTTCTGCAAGCAGCTCAAATCCGAACTCAAGTGCGACATCAAGTACATCGATCCCACCTACATGGTTCGCGGCTGCCAGGCGAACGCCCACGACTCCATCATGTGCACCGTGCTCGGGCAAAACGCCGTGCACGGCGCCTTCGCTGGATTCACCGGCATCTCTGTCGGCACCGTCAGCGCCCACACCGCGTATCTACCTATCCCACGCATGATCGAGCACGAGCGCCTGGTCGACCCCGACGGCAGGATGTGGCACAGAACGCTCGAGAGCACGGGCCAACCAGACTTCTTCTAACATCAGGCATCTTTCAAAGTTTTAAAACCTCGCCGCGTGTTTCGTGTAGGCAAACAGTTCAACCACGAGCCCTAACTTCACACCCGCACTCGACGACGCCTCCGAAGGACCGACGAGAGAGATGGCCGACGCCGCGCCCGAGCTCAAGGAGTTCCCGGAGTTCCCGGGGGAACCCATGAGCAAGAGGTGCGCGCGATTCGGATCGCGCGATCGAGCGCGATGGCGGACGTTCGATGACTGCACGGATGACGAGCGGTTCACAGATGCGACGACGACGACGACGACGACGACGACGACGACGATAACGACGACGCGTGACTGACGATGACGATACATCGCGCGTTCACGTCGCAGTGAGTATAAGAAGAGATTGAAGCAGCGAGAGAACGAGGCGAAGAAGGCGGCCAAGGAGGCGGCCAAGGCGGAGGCGGCCAAGGCGCAACCGGCGAAGGAGAAGAGCGAGGAGGATCTCGAAGTGGATCTGGACCCGGCGCAGTACACGGCGGGACGGATTAAGAAGGTTGTGGCGGCGAAGTCGAGGGGAGAGGCGCCGTACCCGCATAAATTCCACGTCGACACGCGATTTGAGGAGTTCATCGCCAAGTACTCGAGCCTGCCGGAGGGTGGCGCGGCGGACGAGACATGCTCCATCGCGGGGCGCATCATGTCCAAGCGCGCGAGCGGTAAAAAGCTGTACTTTTATGATTTGGTCGCGGATGGAAAGAAGATCCAGATCACCGCGGACGAGGCAGGCGCGACGGGGTACGATTTTGCGAAGGTGCACGCCGCCACGCGACGCGGGGACATTGTCGGCGTTGTGGGTAAGCCAGGTAAGACGAAGCGAGGCGAGCTCTCCATCTTTCCGGTAGAGTTCTCCATTCTCACTCCGTGCTTGCACATGCTTCCGGGTTTCTCTGGCTTGCGAGACGTGGAGACGCGCTTCCGTAAGCGCTTTTTGGATTTGATCATGAATAACGAGGTTCGCGACACGTTCTACATTCGATCAAACATCATCCGCTACGTGCGCAAATACTTGGATGATCGCGATTTCTTGGAGGTTGAAACGCCAATGATGAATATGATCGCTGGTGGTGCCACCGCGCGACCGTTTGTCACCCATCACAACGACTTGAACATGACGCTCTTCATGCGCATCGCGCCCGAGCTCTACCTCAAGCAGCTCGTCGTTGGGGGCATCGAGCGCGTGTACGAGATCGGTCGTCAGTTCCGCAACGAAGGCATCGATATGACGCACAACCCAGAGTTCACGACGTGCGAGTTCTACCAAGCGTACGCCGATTATAACGATTTGATGACCATGACGGAGGAGATGATCTCTGGCATGGTGTACGCCATCAAGGGATCGTACAAGATCCAGTACCACGCCAAGGGCCCGGAGGAGCCGCCGATTGAGATCGACTTCACTCCTCCGTTTCGTCGCATCTCCATGGTCTCTGGTCTCGAAGAGGCACTGAACATCAAGTTCCCATCCACCGATTTTGCCTCCAAGGAAAACGAGGCATTCTTGCAAAAGCTCATAAAAGAGAAGGAAGTTGAGCTCACTCCGCCACACACGACGGCGCGTATGCTCGACGCCCTCGTCGGAGAGTACCTCGAGTCTCAACTCGTTAACCCGGGTTTCATCTGCGATCACCCGCAAATCATGTCTCCGTTGGCCAAGTACCACCGCAGCATCCCGGGCATGACTGAGCGTTTCGAGCTCTTCGTCAACACAAAGGAGCTGTGCAACGCATACACGGAGCTGAACGATCCGATCGATCAACGTGAACGTTTTGAAGAGCAAGCCGCCGCCAAGGAGAGTGGCGACGATGAGGCGATGCTCATCGACGAGACATTCGTGGAATCATTGGAGATTGGATTGCCGCCCACCGGCGGTTGGGGCTTGGGCGTCGATCGCCTCACGATGCTCCTCGCGGATAAGAACAACATCAAGGAAGTCTTACTCTTCCCTGCGATGAAGCCAGACGAACAAGCGCCGAGCGAAGGCGTGAAGAACATGACAATTTAATAGCGTGAACGATCTGAGCGCGATTGTAGGGAGCGGCGTTTAATCTAAAAGATAAATTGAATCACAAGCAGTAAGAAGCGCAGCAGTTTATTGCTCCGTCTGTGTCAACGTACCCAAGTCACCGAACTTCTTACCGAAGCGGCTCACTTGGCCGTCGTTCGTAATCATTTGCGTGTTCTTACCGAGGAAGAACGGGTGGTTGCCGCTCCAGATGTCCACGATATACTCCTTTTGCGTGCCGCCAACCGTCATGACTTCCTCCCCGTTGCAGAACACCTTCGCTTCTTCATAGAACTCCGGTTGTTCCGCCTTCAGCTTGGGTTGCGCCACGTCGCTGCCCTTCTTCGCCTGCACCTTCACCGATCGGGACACCTATTACGCGCAAACAGAATCGCGTGGTCAGTATTTTTGCGCGGCGTCGAGCGCGCTCTCAACCACCCGCGTCCGCCCCGGGAGCTCCACCAGGTTTTATCGCCTCGCCTCCTTTTCGGAATCTTCGTGTTCGCCCGCCGCCGACGCCGCGATCGACCGCACGCGCGCGCGTGCGCGAGCGAGGATTTATCCACCCTCGATCGAACCCACAATCGCTCGCCCTCGATCGTCGCGTCGTCGCTCACCGCCCGCGAAACGACGTCATCCACCCCTAGGGTCCACGTCGCGCGGATTCGCCCTCCCCCCACGCGTCGTCCGCGCGCGCGCGTCGCCCGACCCGGACGTCTCGCGCGGTCAAAATCGTGCGCACCTTTCGCGTCGCCGGGGCGAAACTCGTCGTCGCGATGGAAATCATCGTCGTCTCGCGCGGTGTGCCGCTCGGTGCCGAGGTCGGCGTGCGCGCGGAGGCGTCGAGGCGGTGTCTTCACGAGTCGCGACTCGCGACCGAAGGACGCACCGACCGCAAACCAAAACCCATACGCGGCCGATACAACAGACACCGCGGTCGCGCGCGCCGGTCGCGCGCGCGTGAATCGCGCGCGCGTCGTGCACGCGCGATGGCGACGACGGCGCCCGCGGGACGCCCCGATCCGAGGATGGAGGGAAAAGATACCGACGTGGAGTCCGAGGTGACGACGAGCGCGGAGACGCAGTCGCGGAAGCGAGGACGGGGGGGCGATCGAACGCTCGGGACGGCGGTGCGGAGTGGGTCGTTTCACGGACGATTGGAGGGCGCGACGACGTCGTGCGGAGGGCAGGAAGAGAGCGGGGGGGGGCAGCACTTCGCACTGGGTTCGACGCTGTATAAACGACGAACGAGGCACGAGCACGGGAGGGAGATCGCGCGAAGATTGATCGATTTTAGAGGCTTTGACTTGAGCGAGGCGCAGGCGAACGACGTCGCGCGGTTCATCGATCTGTTGCCGGAGGAGATGGAGGAGCGAGTGCGGGAGGTGTTGGAGAATTGCGTGGATATCGATGACGCGATCGCAAAGCTGGCGAGCGTGAAGATGTTGGAGCAGACGGCGCAGTGCTCGGTTGGGGACTTCAGCGAGGCGACGCTGTCCGAGGCGCACAGCGGGCTCACGGGAGGGGAGAGAGGCGAGGGTGAACGGGACACCGCGACGGCGACATCGAGCGCGCCAGTTCTGACGTTGGAGTGGGTGAACGCGGTCGTGAACGAAATGGGGTCGTCCGTGGATATGTCTGACGCGCAGAACAGAGCGACGCGCGTTTTGCAGACGTTTGAAGGCGCGGTTCGACAGCGGTGCGCTGAGCAGAACGATCACAGCAAGATGATGAAGCTGAAGAGGGAAAACGCCTTGTTGAAGAGAGCGGTTGCGATTCAAAACTCTAGGATGCAGGATCTGAAGCCGCTCCAAACGCGCGTGGGCGAGCTTGAGTCTGCGTGTGCGCAGTACGACGAACGGCTCAAGGCGGCGGAGCGACAGAATTACTCTCTTCAGGTCAACCTGAGACTCGCGATGCAGCACGGGGAGCAATCTCAGTCGCCTTTCGGGTCGAAAAATCACGATGTATTTTGAACTGTTGTAAAATCTACGGCGTTGCATATCTATTTTCTAGTCTTTCTAATCTTCTCGCCACCCGGGCGGACCTTTGAGCAAGCGAAACGTGATGTTGATGCGCTCACCCTCGACGTCTTGAGCGCACGTGACTTTCGGCACGCCATGATAGTGTGAATGCTGCAATGAACGATCCATGACCATGAGAGAGCCATTTTCCAGAAAGATGGACATCTTTTTCTTCGCTTTTGACTTGAGCTGAACGTCAAAACGCCTGACGTGGCCGATGCTCACCGCAGCGATGCACGCGTTACGACCAAGCTCTGGCTCGTCGTCGGCGTGAAGCGCCATTGAATCCGATCCATCACGATAGCGATTGAGCAAAATATGATTGAATCGTTCGCCAGTGACCTGCTCCACTTTTGTCTGGAGTCGTCGCAGCACGTCGGGCACCGGCACTGGTTCGAGAGTCTGCCCACTGTACTTGTACGCAATATCTCCCGCCCACGACACCAGTCTTGGTTGCACAACCTCCTTTTTCGTGTTCTCTTGAGGCTGCCAACACACGATGGAGCGCTGTGCCCAATCGACGGGAGGAGAAGACACGAGAGACGACATCAACTCGCTCGCTTCGCTTTCGCTTAAAAACTCACGGCAATACGCCAAACGTCCGTCGGATTCTTCCGGATCGACAGTCTTGTACGCTAAGATGCCAGGTTTTAAGTCGAATCCGTCGTAACTCCTCAAAATCTGTTGCTCGAGATGAGCGTGCGCGTTACGCCTCTGCTCTTCAACATCGACGCCGATAGCGGCGAGCAATACGCTCTCCATCTCATCGTAACCCGCGATTTTCTCCTTCAAAGCCTCGACCGATTGGTATTCTGAATCACTCTTTTCCTGTTTTTTCGCCAAACGCTGCGCACTCAGACTCGCCTGCCGTCTGACCTCTCGAAGCCATTCCAAGCGTTTCGTGACGTACAACTTCAAGAGTGGCGACTCGCTTGCGGTTCCCTCACCAAGCACTGGTCCGATGATCTCATCCCGAACGCTCAACGGCATCGAGGACGGCGTGTCAATTTCGGCGTCCCTTTCGGCGCTCACGACGAGATGCATGATCTCGTTCTCCACGACAAGTTTCTCGTCACGAATGGTCCAACCGTTTTCCGCCAACCACCTGCGCGTCGCCGCGCCATCCTTCGCGGGCGGATTCAATACCAGCCGAGCGGTCGACGGCGATGTGGACCTTTCGTCTGCACTCGAACACAATCCCAATCCCCCGCTCTCGAGCACTTTCGCCATGGTGTTCGCGCCGACGCCCGCGACGACGACGACGTCCGCGTCTCGCGCCTCCGGACACTCCCCCAATCCATCGCCCAATCGAATCTCCACTCTCGACGCGACGTCGTCGCCCACCACCTTCCTCGCTCGATCGACGTTCTCGAGCGCTCGCTCGCACTCCGCCGCGCTCCTATCGATCGCCAACGTCCGCGCGCCGCGTTCGCACAGGCCCAAGCCGAGCAGCGCGTGCCCGCAGCACGCGTCCACGACACCCTCGACGCCGCGCTCGCGCCCTCCCAACGGCGCCATCACCATCGTCGCGATCACGTCGAGCCTGGACGACCACGCGCACGGCGCGCGCGGCGCGCTCGCGAGCGGCGGCTCGTCTCGCGCGCGCGGCACCTTGAACCGCGCGCGCACCGAGCGAGACCGCGCGCGCGCGCGGACGACCCCCGCGCCGACGACGCCCGTCCGGACGCGAGGCGAC